AAGCAGATGACCCTCTTTCTCTCCTCGTAACCCCGCTCTTCGTTTGTATTAAATTACCTCCTCCGCGCTTTCTTTGCTCCCGGTATAATAATACTCGGGAAGATAATACGAACTTTCTTAATCTCATTCATTATTCAATGTCGGGCAACCATGTCAGGTGGCATATAACTTATTGTTAGCTGGCAAACTAAACGAACGTATTTCATTATCGATTTTTTTATTATTATGTATCGCACACATATTATGCGTATATTAATTATACGTAATAAAAAAAGAAGGGAAAATAGAAGGAGAGAGACAGAATTTCTCGAATAAATCCGATTAACGCTGAGATTCTTTCTTTCGTTATTTCAATTCCGATAGCAATCAAAATTCTATATAAGATATAAGATATAAGCCGCATAACGCAGTCGCATATTTCAGATCTTGTATTAGTGATAGCGAGAGCGGACCGGCATGGTACAAATATTTTTTGTGCGGTGTAAAAGGAGCATTGGAAGTAATCCCAACAGAGTCCATTCCTACGGGAATCCTGGTTGCGGTATGGGGCAATATTCCTCCTAATTCTGGCCTCTCGAGTTCTAGTGCGCTCGTCTCGGCCGCACTCCTTTCAATCGCACATGCCAATCAGGTATTTATCTTGCGTAGAAAGTTAAATATTATCAAACTTCGCACTTTACTTTATATTATAAAGCAAAATTAATTAAAACTTTAATTTTTTAATATCTACGCGGAAACAATTTATTTTATTAATTAGTTTCTTTTATTAATTAGTCTTATTTTATAAAAAATATAGAGTTATTTGATAAAAAATAAGACTATTAATTAATAACAAACTGTTCTCGCGTGGATGATAAAAAATTAATTTTAATCTTTAGACTTGTTCTTTTATTGTAATGCGAAATTTCCCCAGTAGCCTTTCATACGAGTCTCCAATCAGACTTTTATGGATTTGCACGAATGAAATAGAAATAAAATAACGTATTTCTTATCAACTAGGGAGATATGTATTGTATTTCCAAACTATCAAACTACCGATCGCTGTCATATAAAGTTTCATTCTTTTTATTTCTTTATTGGCGTCTTCGAATATAGATCTTATTTCTTTGACGATTTCGTGTTTGCTCAAATGGATGTCGGATGCGATGTAGTCGCCGCGGATCCTCGAGATATTTCTTTAATGATTTATCTTTGTATGCGTCATTATCTTGTCTCTCTTAATTTTTTCTAGATTAAGTTGATATTTCTCGGTTCAAGAGTTTGTATCTTAAGTTTGTTTCACAAGAAGACGAAAGAGTTTTCTTATTCAGATTCTGGATACTATTAGCTATGTTTTATAAATCAACATAAATTAGAATCACTGATATTACCATTCGATTCGTATTTGTATTGTAGCATCAGTTGTCGAAGCATGAATTGGCAACTATCAGCGCTCGAGCAGAGAGACATATCGGAACTCAAGGTGGAGGAATGGATCAGGCCATCGCTTTTCTTGGAAAAACTGGTATATATAATTACGATTTTATTATTTATTATTAGATACTTTATGCAAATCAAACTAGCTATTATTAAAAAAAATTAAAAAAACGAAATTATCTATAGAATCAAATTAAATTTATTCAACGTAATTTGCAGTAATTATTTAGCCGCAAAATTAAATATAAAATTAAAAATTCTCGAGTAATGTTAAAAGAATTTCAATGTCTCATTTTCCGTACTATATTTTTTTTTTGTTTATTCGTAAAGGTTCTGCTAAATTGATTGAATTTAACCCCTTACGTGCCACCGATGTAACATTGCCAAAGAACGCAGTCTTTGTAATAGCGCATAGTCAAGCTTATCACAACAAAGCCTCGACTACTGACTTCAATCTCAGAGTTGCAGAATGCCGATTAGCTGCACAGGTATTGTTAACATTAATGCCGTATTTGAAAAAAGAATTTTTTATTACATGCAAATATTATTATTCGCGAATATCGATTTAGAATAAAACGTAATTTTACGGCTCGGTTCGATTTATCTTTTTGGTTTGAACAGTGCTGAACTCTTTAAAGATCTGCAAATATGTTCGCGAAGAGACTATTGAAGAATAACAAGACACGTTTTTCAATTACGCTTCCACGCTTGTCCCTCTTTGATAGACATTGATCGATGCACCTCGCATTTATTCAGGATATTTTCTAGCTCTCTCCTTTACGCTTTTCTACGGCTTTTTTAATTTTATTTTCTTCGCTTTCCGAAAACATTCTTCTTCACCCGAAGTGAATGGGAACAGTGATATATAAATCTTACGGAAGTAAGCAATTATTTTTTCACGATATTACTCCGCCATTTCCCAACTGAGCAATGAAATCTCTCTTTTGTATTTAGATAATAGCTAAGAAGAGAAATAAGGATTGGGAGCATATTCAAAAATTAATCGACATTCAAAAGAAGCTCGCTTTTGACTTGGATGAGATGGTTACTGTAGTAATGTCAGATTTACACGAACAGCCGTATACTCTTGATGAGGTATATATTATTCTGTTAAATAAATATCATAAAAAAGTAACCTTTATAAATTTCGCTACAAAAAATGATAAAGGATTATATTCATATATTTCAGATGTACTATTAATATTCGTCCACATGTTAATTTGCTATTAAACGAATCTCATTGTCAACTCAAAGAATTATTTAAAAAAAAAAAAATAATAAAAAGCTATATTTTATATGTTATTAATTTCTTCAATCATGTCAAATGACTTGCTATAAAAGGAAATTCTCATCATCGATGGTGAATCAAAGGTTTATATTTTATCGATGAAATATAAATTCTTCTCTCCGTAGATCTGCGAGAGCCTCGGTACAGACTATGAACGATTGAAGAAGACGTCTCTCATCAGTTCCTTTAATACCTCGCAAACGTTCAAACTGCAGCAACGAGCGCTGCACGTTTTTCAAGGTAAAAGCATCAATTTTCATGCGCTGGTAAATCGTAAAACGCAGTTTTAGATCCAATAAATCAAGAGAGCTTACCCTCCCGTTTCTCAAGCTAATGCATTAACTTAACTTTTTTTTTCGCAAGCGAAAAGATCTCGCTACAGTTAGCCGGCGAACTTTACGCTCGTTAAAAAGAAAAAAAAGTGCTATTAAAAAAGTTTAGAGGCAAACACCATTTTGTCCCATTTACTGCTCCAATTATAAAAATATTTAACTGTTTTTTGTCTTAATTTTTTACGTTATTGATATTATCATCAATAATGTAAAAAAGCATTAAAAGTTGCAAATTTAATCAACGTATGTAACGCTTTGCGTGTGTAAAAGTATATCAATAATTAACCATATCTATGCATTGTTCTATGAAACTATAAATTATCTTCATGAACATATGTCGCAAAAAAATGTTGCAAAAAAAAGAGGTAAAGAGAAATTAACTGTATAAGAGAAAATTGACGTTCTACTCGCGAAATATAAAATTTATTATTTATATTTTTAATTTTCTCTTCTTTATAAATATTATAGTTGCTAACTTTATATTTTATAATTATTTATTTTTCTAGTGCAACAAACTCTACATATTAAATAATATTAAATCGATTAGTGTCTGATTAAATATTCTGTAAATATCTTAGCTGTCACATGATATCATCGTCAGATTAAAAAGCGCGGTCTTTATTATTATGGCAGCTAGTAAACTCGCCTCGATCAACTTGATTTTACAGAGGCTAGCAGAGTGCTCGCGTTTCAACGTATAAATAAAGAAAGCGGTATAATGGAACTCGAGAAGCTCCAACATCTGGGCAGTCTGATGTCAAAGAGCCACGCCAGTCTCCATAAACTGTACGAGTGCAGCCATCCCAGCGTGGACTTACTCGTCGAAAAAGCTATACGTCGCGGTGCATATGGCGCCAGACTCACGGGAGCTGGGTAAGTATTATATTTAAGCATGTCTTTTTTAAAGCGACATAAATATAAAGATGTACATGACTGGATCGAGAACCGAGAGCTTTCGCTCGCTTATAATGTCTCTAATATCTGTAATATCCCCTCCCCCTCTGTATAATATATAAAATTCTTCTTATAATATATATATGTGTGTGTATGTGTGAGATGTAATCAATATATGCCCTGTTCAAGACATAATAATGAGAAAATGTAAACTAAATTTATATAGAATTCGCTCTCTATATTCTATCAAATACGAAATACTATTTACAACAAAGAATTCATTACACACAAAAGTGTGTTAAGATTTCTATTGAAATATTATTCTATATTATATTAATTTTACAATTATTCTATATTATTCTAATTTTACAATAATTTTAATATTATTCTATATTATATTAGTTTATAATTTTTCATTTTTTTGTTTCGTAATAAAAGTGAAACGAATCGCTATTTCGTGTTGTACACAGTTGGGGCGGTTGCATCGTAGCAATCATTGATAAAACCGAAGTTCAACAATTCGTGGATGCTCTCCGAACGGATCTCTGTCAGAACAGCACAAAGGACCGGGCGGAGCTGAAGGATATGGTGTTTCCGACGGCACCGAATCAGGGTGCTGTTATTTACACTGTATCAACACTGTTTTGAATCATAAAGCCCGCCGGTGTAATAAATATAGCCACTTTTCTTGGCCCGCGTCGTTACCCCATCCCTTTATTGACATTCCATTATTTTCTCCTCGCCTCACTTTACTTTCACGTTTCTCTCTCTGACCTGCTTTTTTCGTCTTTTATCACAAATTTTAATTAATGGAAGAAGCCAGCACCTGTAGCATGCAATGTCCTTTGACATTGTTGACGTTTCAGTACTGAATGAATAGTATTTATTCTAAGACATTGCTTCCTGCCATTCAATTGCTATACATATGAATTCTCTTTTAGTTTATCATCATAGCAAATATAAATATGAGTTTCGATACTACAGCTAGAACGATCTTTGTGAGAAATATAACTGCCAATTATAACTGCAGCATCGAAAAATTGAGAGAAATTGTTTAAAAGAGCTAGATAGATTGGGCGCGTTATACAAATATGTTAGATGTGAGGATTATATATTCATTTGTTTCTTGCCGCTAATTTTTTCTGTGTACCACAGCCAAACTTTATAACAAGTATGATTGGCCTTAACATGGATAGGCGCCACAGAAAAACATTCTTTCTAAATTTCACAAACAGTTCAGATATAAATTCTGTCTCTGTCACTTAGATTGATTAAATGCGAAACATATGCGATATCACAGTATTTGCTAATCATTTATGTACCTCAGTTAATTTTGCGCATCCAGAAAATTTTTGCTGTAGTTGCAATACCACTTTTTTGAGTGGTGTCTTATATAATAGTGCATCCTGTCGAAACAAAGACTGACACTAATCCCAAGCTATATAATTATGTCAAAAATTAACATCGATTTTTATCTCTTTTCTATAACTATAGCATGTAAAGATTTAATTATAACATGTGAAAAGAATTATGAAGAATGATTCGCTATTCTAAAATATAAGAAGTCTTACTATCCTGATATAGATACGCGATATTTTATAATTAATATAAATGATTACTCACATATGACATTTATATATGGTAATAGTTTTTGTATGAAATAATTATGAATAAATAAATTTGCAGTGGAATATATCACTCTTAGCAAATATGTAATTTTAAGAGAGGGGTGATAATAAACTTTATAATAATAATAAATTTTAAGATGAAAATCTCTAATAAACTTCTAATGAAATATGGTAAAAGTTTAGCTTGTGAATAACAAGAGATAAGGTGAAATATATCATAATAAAACTTCACTTACAAACTCCTACGTTAAATTGCCACCATTGCGTGTTGCATACTAAAGCGTATAGTCTAATGTATCCATGAAAAATATATGATCATAATTTATATCTGTTAGTTTATTATGTTCTATATATCTATATCATAATATGTGCTACCAAAATATGATATAAAGAATAACGCAAAATGTGGATTTTTTAAATACTACTGGCAATTATTATTCACAAAAATGTACTGTCATCAAAATACATTTGTTAAGTATATATAACACACTATGTGAAAAACGTGTGAGAAATTTTTATTCACGGGATGGGATGCTGAACCTATCGTCCTAAAGTCTGACACGGATATTGATTTTTCACCGTCTGTCTGTGTCGATAAATTTTACGGCAAGTAATCATCGGTACGGCTTCTTCAAGAGTCACTTTCGACTTCAATTGCGTCGATGTTATTGCTCCAATAAGACGATCAATTCCGAGTGATGAAGATATTCAATAGAATTGAAATCAAAATCCTAACTAGAAATATTGAATAATACTTTGCGTCAAGCACAATAAATCGATATAGCAATCTTACACTCGCAATCACAATTTGATTACATCTATTTATTTTACGAATATATATAAAATATTCAAATTATAAAATTATTTAAATCAAATTAAGTAAATTGATATATATATATATATAAATCAAAGAAAATTTAACTTTTCAATTTTTAAAAGTTTTTAATGATTTATTTAGACCAATTTTTATAGCTTTTTAGTTTTTAATTTTTAATAGAGTTTCTTTTAGTTATTTAGAAACACGCCTATTTTTACGCTTTTCTGAAACATACATATTTTTATTGTCACTACTGTTAAATATATCATTTAGAAACTTTCAACCAGGTTTCCTTGTGTATTTTCTCAGAAAAAAACGTCTCTCTCTGAAAATTCTAAGAATAGTTAGCAAGCATACCTAGACTTTATTTCCCTATGATATTCTCTAACGCTATTTTAATAAAATGTGTAATATTTTAATAAAATGTGTATTTTAATAAAATGTGTAATATAATAGCTGAGATTCTGTATACAGGATCTCAGCTATTGTTTTTATAGTAAAAAAATATCTCACGAAATACGGGAAAATATGAAAAATATGCGTAATTACAAATATCTATATTATTAACGGATATTTTACGATATTTTAACGATATTATAAATAAATAAACTAAATATCTACTTTTTAGTATCTATTAAATTTATAAATATTTAAATGCAAAATTTTATTGCACAATTCTAATTTAACGCAATTAATTTAATATTTAATATTAATAAACACATATATATATA